TGCAATGTCATGGAAGTAACTGTAAAGGACAACATTAGCTAATGGTTGGAATTTATTTTTTTTATATAACCTTGACACTGAGCTGGACTTTGTGGGGTTTGCAGCCAGTGATTTTCCATAACCCAATTTTTGCATCCCACCCTTATTTACACAATCCTTGAATTAATACATTCATATTCCCTCTTTTCCTGCCATAACTAATCATTCAACATTACCATTATGCCTTCCTGACCTAATCCAATTTATTACTCCCCTTTGAAAATCTACCCCCTCAACTTTGGTTTCCATTTCACAGTTATCTGGCAGGCGGTAGTGCCTCCCTGGGTGCTTGCTGTTTACCAACTATTCTACCTACTTCGTTTGCTTAAAACGTGTATAAAGAAAGGAAATTTTCCCAGAATCTCTAGGAGAGCAGTGTCCAATGAAGACAGAATCATCCAGCAGACATAAATTGAGCCTTCCAGTTGGCCTCAGACAACAATATGATGCTCAATGAGAGCAGATTTCAGTTGCTCTATGTAAGAATGGAAGAAATAAAGATTGAAGCAGAGTACAAGACATAATCAAATCATTAAATAGAAAGTTCTATGCACATGACTTAGTGAATGTCTGAGGATCTCCCATTCAAGGATCACAACAATGTTATCACTACTGCAAAGATAATGACAGGCTGGATAATTAAAATGTTCAAAATGAAAATGCCAAGCCAATGAAGGAAGTCTTCTGATCACTTGTTTCCTCTAGGCTCAAATACGGCTGCTTCAAGGCAGGACAGATGGAAGCTAGAATATGTACAGAGAACATTTGCTGCCTGAACACTAATTCAATCAAACATCTGAACTACTAGGAATGCTTATTGAACTCTACTCCTTTGAATGTAGGTAAGAAAGGCATGGAGGCTCTGAGCCCAAACCTGCAGTGAAATCACCCTGTATACAAGCAAGAAACTTCTCAGTGCAAAAATCTCCAATAAAAGGGAGGAGCATGATGCATACATACACTGAGAGAGAGAGAAGAGAGAGAGAAAAGAAGAGAGAGAGAAGAAGAAGAGAGAAGAAGAAGAGAGAGAGAAGAAGAAGAGAGAGAAGAAGAAGGAGAGAGAGAAGAAGGAGAGAGAGAGAAGAAGAAGAGAGAAGAAGGAGAAGAAGAAGAAGAAAAAGAAGAAGAAGGAGAAAGAAGAAGAAGAAGAAGGAGAAGAAGGAGAAGAAGAAGAGAGAGAAGAAGAAGAAGAAAGAAGAAGAAGAGGAGAGAGAGAGAGAGAGAGAGAGAGAGAGAGTGAGAGAGAGAGGGAGAAGAGAGAGAGAGAAAGAGAGAAGAGAGAGAGAGAGAGAGAAGAGAGAGAAGAGAGAGAGAGAAGAGAGAGAGAGAGAGAGAGAGAAAGAGAGAGAGAGAGAAAGAAGAGAGAGAGAAGAGAGAGAAGAGAGAAGAGAGAGAGAAGAGGAGAGAGAGAGAGAGAGAGAGAGAGAAGAGAGAGAGAGAAGAGAGAGAAGAGAGAGAGAGAGAGAAAGAGAGAAAGAGAGAGAGAAAGAGAAGAAAGAGAGAGAGAGAAAGAAGAGAGAGAGAAAGAGAGAGAGAAAGAGAGAAGAGAGGAGAAAGAGAGAGAAGAAGGAGAGAGAAGAGAAGAGAGGAGAAAGAGGAAAGAGAAGAGAGAAAGAGAGAGAGAGAGAGAGAAGAGAGAGAGAGAAGAGAGGAGAGAGAGAGAAGAGAGAGAAGAAAGAGGGAGAAGAGAGAAGAGAGGAGAAAAGAGAGAGAGAGAGAGAGAGAGAGAGAAGAGAAGAGAGAGAGAGAGAGAGAGAGAGAGAGAGAGAGGAGGAAAGAGAAGAGAGCAGGAGAGAGGAGAGAGAAGAGAAGAGAGGAGAGAAGAAGAGAGAAGAAGAGAGAGGGAGAGAGGAGGAAGAAAGAGAAGAGGAGAAGAAAAGAAGATTGAGAGAGAAGAGAGAGAAGAGAAAGAGAGAGAGAGAGTAGAAATGAGGAAGAGAGAGGAGAGAGAGAAGAGACGAGAAAGAGAGAGAAAGAGAGAGAGGAGAGATGAAAGAGAGAGAGAGAGAGAGAGAGAGAGAGAGAGAGAAAGAGAGAGAGAGAAAGAGAGAGAGAGAGAGAGAGAGAGAGAGAGAGAGAGAGAAAGATAATTGCACAGACCACTGGGTTACATAAGGCAAGTCATCAAACAAAAGAAATAGTAGAAGCCTACACTTTAAAGGAGGGGTTTGGGTTATTGGCAGTTTGGTGGGATGTGTAATAGGACAATACAGATATAACTGGGGCCCTAATATTGTAACTATTTCAGGTCACATTTTATACTGTTTCTTTATATATGCTTCTAAACTGTTGCATCTGGGCGCCTCTGCAAAAACAGTGATTATGTATGAGTGAGGTGAAAGTGTTGTAAATGATGATGAAAGTATTTTCGTTCTGGGGATTTTCTTTCCTTTTGGGTCACCCTGCCTAGGTGGGAGACGGCCAACTTGTTGAAAAAAAAAAAAAAAAAGTTGATGTGTGTAAGCGTCGGTTTCTCAAGAACAGTATTGACATGCCCACAATAAAAGCACGCCCAGGTAAAGCCTAGGAAAAACGTCCCCACTAACATTAACTGCAATAACATAACTAGAAATGTTACTTGAAATATTGCCTTAAAAGTGGTTTTATCGAATCTGAAAGTCTAACACACCTGTGTAATTCATGTAAATTAAATAACTTGCACATGTTATGTCATACAAGATACTGTTAAATTATTTTGCTAGTTTTACTACTGAGAGTTCTAGGATATTTAATTAAATCATTCTTTTTGGAAACTTCCCAAGGTTTTTTATTTTTAATTCAATGGCTGTCTCCCACCAAAGTAGAATTACCCAAATAAGTAAACACAATTACCAACATTCACTCAGTCACCATCTTGCCAGAAGTGTGCCAACATCACAATCACAATATCCTCCGACTGCAACATCCCTGCCCCTTGAAGCATGTAGGCACTGCCTTTTCCATCCTCAGGAATATAGTCCAGCTAACCAGTTTCTCTGAATCACTTCATGAAAGTTACTTTGCTCTTACTCCAACAGCACATCCAATAAAAACTAGTCAGTCTCCATGCACTCCTATCTAACATGCATACACAGGCCTGCTGGATGTTCAAGCCCCTAAAAACTCAAGACTCTTTTACTCCCTCTCTCCAAACATTCATGGGACAACCCCTTCCCCTCCTACCTATACACTGTATATGGTAAATACCCCATCATTGCTCCTTTTTTTTATTATTATTATTAACACATCGGCCGATTCCCACCAAGGCAGGGTGGCCCAAAAAAGAAAAACTTTCATCATTCGCTCCATCACTGTCTCGCCAGAGGGGTGCTTTACACTACAGTTATAAAACTGCAACATTAACACCCCTCCTTCAGAGTGTGGACACTGTACTCCCCATCTCCAGGACTCAAGTCCAGTCTGCCGGTTTCCCCGAATCCATTCATAAATGTTACTTTGCCCATACTCCAACAGCACGTAAAGTATTAAAAACCATTTGTCTCCATTCGCTCCTATCAAATACGCTCACACATGCTTGCTGGAAGTCCAAGTCCCTCACACACAAAACCTCCTTTACCCCCTCCCTCCAACCCTTCCTAGGCGGACCCCTACCCCGCCCTCCCTCCACTACAGATTTATACACTGTAGTGGAGGGAAGGCGTGGTAGGGGTCGGCCTAGAGTACAGCATTATGGCTCTATAGGAATATTAATAGTTCCCTTTACAGAGTGCTGAAAGTTAGAAATGTAAAAGAAATAAGTAACAATGCAGAAGGTTTACAAGATACACTTCACACCTTCTGCAGTATTTGCAGATGCCTACAATGCAACTAAGGTGAATAATGTACATATTTTAAAGACCATTTTGTTTAGTTTTTTGTACAGCCTGTGATTTAATTTAATTAATGTTATTCACTACAGCTCATCTCAGGTAACAGTGACAGGAAACCCACATCACCCATAATGACAAGGAAGGACAGACTCTGTTACCCAAACACTGAGATGCCCTTATGAAAACAGACACTGGGAGAATAAAGCTGAGCAGTCGAGCAGAAAGTGATCACCACTCTCAGGCTTAAGAGGAAACATAACTGACAGGAAGGATAACAGAGTATGGAGGCAGAGACAAAGGACTCAACCTGAGTGGCAATCTTCTATGAAATGCTACCAAGCAACATCTGCCAGACATCAGAGCTCCAGCCAGACTACAAGGGCAACTTTATGTCTGTCCCAGCTCAATAGTGATAGATGGTTGGGAATGAGAAGGACTGCTCTTTCTGCTACAATGTTTCTTGGGATGATGTTCATTGACACGAAGACTAGCCTGGCCTGATAAGATAGGATGAAAGGAGAGAAAAGACTAAGAACAAGGAGAAAAGAAAATTGACCTAAGAAAAGAACAACTGAAGCAAATGAGAAAGAAATTAAAAAATTATCTAAGTTGATGGGCAAGAGTTTCCTGCCAGAATAGAGATGAAAAGGTTCAAACTCTTTTCCTGAAAGAGGAAAAAGTAAAGGAAAAGAGATATCCAAAGTACTGTAGTAGAGGAGCTATTCACAAATACGTAATACTTTCGGAAGGTAAGTCCAGACAGTATTTTACTTCACCTTGGACCAATATGAGACAGTTCAAAACTGGGGGAGTGAGAAAACAGGTTAATTAATAGTATGTAGCAGCTGGTATCAGCAGCAAGTGTAGATCTACGTAATCTACTTGGGAGACAGTAAAAGGGTTAAGAATCACTTGTCTCCATTCTAAAGAATAAAACCATAGGATGGGTTGCACTGGGTTGTTGGGTAGATAAACTAACTTCTCACCTTTTTCAAATTTAAGAGAAAATCAATTAGAAATGAAACTCATTTGCAATAAACATATACCCCTGTAAAGAAATGTACTGCATATAACATGCAGCAAATTGCCATTATAATGTCACATACCAGGTTATAGAAAAAAAAAAAAAAAAAAAAAAACATACATACTCACTTCTCAAGCCTGCGAGGGTAGGGGACATTAGGATGGCCACAGGAGGTGACCACATTGCCTAGGGTGGCAGCTCGTCGTTGCATTCTCTCAGTCCAAGTGCTCATATCCCGCCCTCAACCACCCACAACACCTGATCAAGAAAAAATATGTATCTTTAACAGGGCTTCCTGGTATATATCATGCAGAAAATAAATTACAAAAATCCCAAGGAGCCACTAATAAGTGGTTTTACTATTGACTTGTACAGTGATACCTTGACTTATGAGTTTAATTCGTTCCGCAACCGAGCTCATAACTCAATTTGCTCATACATATATCAAATTTCCTCGTTGAAATTAATTGAAATGCCATTAATCCCCAAAAACCACCCCATTATAGCCTGTATTGACTCCTCCTTCTTTAATATGATACATACTGTAGAAGTACTATGCACGTACTGACTCACCAAGTCAACTACACACACACCTTGCTCGTGTTTTTCTATGATTTCATGCTTTAATTCAATGGACATCATCCTCTTCTTCTCAACACTGTCCTTTGCACTTACTTTCTTAGGACACATGGTTAGAAAAAAGAAATTTGGTAAAAATAACTGCACAAAAAAGCACAAAACGCAAGCACAACACAAGAGTGATGCTTCTACAGTGAGGTAACCACATGCACTGAACGAGTGAGACATGGGATGCTGAGCAGATGTTTACCTGGAGAGAGTTCCGGGGGTCAACGCCCCCGCGGCCCGGTCTGTGACCAGGCCTCCTGGTGGATCAGAGCCTGATCAACCAGGCTGTTACTGCTGGCTGCACGCAAACCAACGTACGAGCCACAGCCCGGCTGGTCAGGAACAAACTTTAGGTGCTTGTCCAGTGCCAGCTTGAAGACTACCAGGGGTCTGTTGGTAATCCCCCTTATGTATGCTGGGAGGCAGTTGAACAGTCTCGGGCCCCTGACACTTATTGTATAGTCTCTTTAACGTGCTAGTGACACACCTGCTTTTCATTGGGGGGATGTTGCATCGTCTGCCAAGTCTTTTGCTTTCGTAGTGAGTGATTTTCGTGTGCAAGTTCGGTACTAGCCCCTCTAGGATTTTCCAGGTGTGTATAATCATGCATCTCTCCCGCCTGCGTTCCAGGGAATACAGGTTTAGGAACCTCAAGTGCTCCCAGTAATTTAGGTGTTTTATCTCCGTTATGCGCGCCGTGAAGGTTCTCTGTACATTTTCTAGGTCAGCAATTTCACCTGCCTTGAAAGGTGCTGTTAGTGTGCAGCAATATTCCTGCCTAGATAGAACAAGTGACCTGAAGAGTGTCATCATGGGCTTGGCATCCCTAGTTTTGAAGGTTCTCATTATCCATCCTGTCATTTTTCTAGCAGATGCGATTGATACAATGTTATGGTCCTTGAAGGTGAGATCCTCCGACATGATCACTCCCAGGTCTTTGACGTTGGTGTTTCGCTCTATTTTGTGGCCAGAATTTGTTTTGTACTCTGATGAAGATTTAATTTCCTAGTGTTTACCATATCTGAGTAATTGAAATTTCTCATCGTTGAACTTCATATTGTTTTCTGCAGCCCACTGAAAGATTTGGTTGATGTCCGCCTGGAGCCTTGCAGTGTCTGCAATGGAAGACACTGTCATGCAGATTCGGGTGTCATCTGCAAAGGAAGACACGGTGCTGTGGCTGACATCCTTGTCTATGTCAGATATGAGGATGAGGAACAAGATGGGAGCGAGTACTGTGCCTTGTGGAACAGAGCTTTTTACCGTAGCTGCCTCGGACTTTACTCTGTTGACTACTACTGTGTTCTGTTAGTGAGGAAATTATAGATCCATCGACCGACTTTTCCTGTTATTCCTTTAGCACGAATTTTGTGCACTATTACGCCACGGTCACACTTGTCGAAGGCTTTTGCAAAGTCTGTATATATTACATTTTCATTCATTTTGTCTTCTAGTGCATCTAGGACCTTGTCGTAGTGATCCAATAGTTGAGACGGACAGGAGCGACCTGTTCTAAACCCATGTTGCCCTGAGTTGTGTAATTTATGGGTTTCTAGATGGGTGGTGATCTTGCTTCTTAGGACCCTTTCAAAGATTTTTATGATATGGGATGTTAGTGCTATCGGTCTGTAGTTCTTTGCTATTGCTTTACTGCCCCCTTTGTGGAGTGGGGCTGTGTCTGTTGTTTTTAGTATCTGTGGGATGACCCCCGTGTCCATGCTCCCTCTCCATAGGATGGTAAAAGCTCGTGATAGGGGCTTCTTGCAGTCTTGATGAACACGGAGTTCCAGAGTCTGGCCTGGGGCAGAGTGCATGGGCATGTCATTTATCGCCTGTTCGAAGTCATTTGGCGTCAGGATAACATCAGATAGGCTTGTGTTAACCAAATTATGTGGCTCTCTCATAAAAAATTCATTTTGATCTTTGACTCTCAGTCTGGTTAGCGGCTTGCTAAAAACTGAGTCATATTGGGACTTGAGTAGCTCACTCATTTCCTTGCTGTCATCTGTGTAGGACCCATCTTGTTTAAGTAGGGGCCCAATACTGGACGTTGTTCTCGACTTTGATTTGGCATAGGAGAAGAAATACTTTGGGTTTCTTTCGATTTCATTTATGGCTTTTAGTTCTTCCCGCGATTCCTGACTCCTATAAGATTCCTTTAGCTTAAGTTCGATGCTTGCTATTTCTCAGACCAGTGTCTCCCTACGCATTTCAGATATATTGACCTCTTTTAGCCGCTCTGTTATTCTTTTCCATCTCCTGTAAAGGGAGCGCCTGTCTCTTTCTATTTTACATCTACTCCTCCTTTTTCTTCAAGGAATAAGCCTTGTGCATACATCGAGTGCCACCGAGTTAATCTGTTCTAGGCATAAGTTGGGGTCTGTGTTGCTTAGTATATCTTCCCAGCTTATATCGGTTAGGACTTGGTTTTACTTGGTCCCACTTTATGTTTTTGTTATTGAGTTGAATTTGGTGAATGCTCCCTCGTAAATAATCTCATTATGTCGGTCTGGGGCTCCGCGCATACATGTCTGAACCTCAATTATGTTGTGATCTGAGTATATTGTTTTTGATATGGTGACATTTGTATCAGATCATCATTGTTAGTGAAGATGAGGTCTAGTGTATTCTCCAGTCTAGTAGGCTCTATTATTTGCTGGTTTAAATTGAATTTTGTGCAGAGATTTAAAAGCTCGTGTGAGTGTGAGTTTTCATCAGAGCTGCCTCCTGGTGTTATTTCTGCAACAATATTATTTGCTCTATTCCTCCATTTTAGGTGCCTTAAGTTGAAATCCCCCAGGAGCAAGATGTTGGGTGCAAGAGCTGGCAGATTTTCCAGACAGTGGTCAATTTTTAACAGCTGTTCCTGGAATTGCTGGCATGTTGCATCCGGAGGCTTGTAGACTACCACAATGACTAGGTTTTGGTTCTCGATCTTTACTGCTAAAACTTCCACTACATGATTTGAGGCATTAAGCAGTTCTGTGCAAACAAGTGACTCTGCAATGTACAGGCCAACCTCCCCCCTTTTGCCTGTTCACTCTGTCGCATCTGTATAGGTTGTAACCTGGGATCCATATTTCGTTGTCCAAGTGATCCTTTATGTGGGTCTCAGTGAAAGCCCCGAACATTGCCTTTGCCTCTGCAAGCAGTCCACGGATGAAAGGTATTTTGTTGTTTGTTGCTGGCTTTAGACCCTGTATATTTGCAAAGAAGTGTGTCATCGGACTGTTGGTATTGTTGGTACTGGGGGGGGGGATTTCTTTTCCGGCATTAGTATCTGTATCTGTTGGTTTGGAGTGGAGGCCATCGACTGTGGTTCCACTCCAGGAATGACTGGATTTGGTGTACGATTTCTGCCATTTCCTGCCAGTTTTTTTCCTTCCTGGCACTAAAAAACCTCTCCCTCTTGAGTGGCTGTGGCCACCCAGGTTTTCCCATGGCCTGGATGTTTTGTATTTTTTGTCCCCTTTAGATGGCGTGCCTGGCAATTAAAGTTATAACAGTCTTTCCTGTACTGAAGAGGTACACATTTCAGGGTGAAAAAAGCTTACAGGAAGGGAGTTTGCATTTTCCTGTTGTCATATGGGCACGGCATTTTCTAGGGTGGTCATAGTGGCACGTCCCATCTGTTTTTCCAGATTTTCCATGCCTGCAAATACCAAGTGCATAGTATGTGCACAGGCTTGGTTTCCGTTTGCCTTGGGTTTCTGTGACTGTATTCCCTGTTGGTGCATGTTTACCTGCCTTATTCCTATCCTCCCTAGCACAAACAATGGAGCTCCCACCAGTTGTTTTTGGTAATATATCCTCACTATTGCTAGTGGAGTCCTCTTGTTTGCTATTTCCTGTGGTATTTCTAGTTTGCAATATTGGTTTTATCTTATCTTTGACTACACTTGTTTTCCCACTACGGCTCCTGTCTCCCATGAGGCCATTTATATGCATTCCTTCCTGCGTATAATTCCCGACTACCTGGACAAAATCTCCAGCTTCACCATTACTGTCTACCAGGACAGCACTATCAGCCCCACATTTACTGACTACCAGGACATCACCTCCAGCCTTACAGTTTCTGACTACATGGCCAGTATCAAGGGCAGTACCATTCAGCCCAGACTTTTTATGTTTCCATCTGTTGTAGAAAGCTTCCAGGTTGTCTATGAAAGCAGCTTTGATGTTATCCTCTTTTAATACCCTTGTGATTTTAGTCCACTGATTTATCTCATTTGGGCATACCCAAAAACACATCCCTGTTTTAATACTGCTTGTAGCTAGTTCTTGGATATCTGCACAAGGGGCGTGACACCAATTTCCACAAAAATTACAATTTATCCATGTGGAAGCCCGTTTGTTTGATTGATTGCAGACTACACAGGGCTTCATAATGATTTGAATGGTTGATTTACTGTAATTCTACTAGCAACCTCTTGAATACTCTATTAATATCCTCCTTAATGTGAAGCTCTAGCTATTTGTATTTCTATTTCTAACTGTACTTGTATATTAGGACAGCTTACCGGTGTGCGTTCCTGTTGTGGCATTCGCTGTGCCAACTAGTGGCAGCGTATCTGAACCTTGCCCATAACTCGAATTTTGGCTCGCAACTCAAAGCAAAAAATCGACCAAGCAATGGCTCATAACTCAGAAAACTCGTAAGTTGGGGCACTCGAAGTTAAGGTACCACTGTATCTGTAAACTAACTTAAGAGAGACTGTCAGTAGTATGACAAAGGAGATTCAATGGATGAGTACTGTATTGTGAAAACTTGCACTGTAAAAAACTGCTTTTCTCTTACTAGCAAAGCAGTCATAATTAAGATACATATGATAATGTAAAAACAGTTATCCCCTGGAATATTAACCCTTTGAGGGTCGACATGCCCTCTCCGAAACTCGTTCTCAGGGTCGACCAAATTTAAAAAAAAAAAAAAAATTTCTCTTATGAAAAGATAGACAATCTTTTCCCGATCATAAGGACACCAAAAGTTTGAAATTTGATGGAAAACTTACGGAGTTATGCTCTCGCGAAGTTAGCGGTCTCGGGGATGTTTACGCATCGGCGATTTTGCCCACTTTGAGCCCCATTTTCGGCCAATTCCACTGTACTAGTCGACAAAAAACATGAATATTTCGCTAGAACTCCATTTTTACTATCGAATGGGTGCAAGAAACCACCCATTTATGAAATTCAACTATCCAGTACAGTGGTCAGAATTTAGCAATTTTGCCAATTTCATACAAATTTCAAAAGATGCCAATTTCCGAATAGGGTCCAGAATAAACAAGAAAGACATTCCTGGCACTAAAATGACATTTCCTCTGGTCATTAGTCACGTCTCAAGGCCCCTCTTATACGTATTCTTTTGCTTTCCACTTTGAATTTTTATTCTCACAAAAAATATAAGATTTACTGTTATGCAGACTACTGCATTAGTGTAAAAAATGGTATAAATATTATTGGCGCACTTGTGAAAGAATATTAGACTCACCAGTTGACGTGTATTGGATCATTGGCACGATTTGTTTACTTTTGAAATTTGGTAAAAATCGAACATTTCTGCTACTTTGAGCTCAATTTCAAGGTGTCTTTCATTGTAAAACCAGTCAAAATCATCTCAATTTCTGTAATATGTCTTCCATTCTATAAAATGAGACCAGAAAAACTAGAATACAACAATAAATACCATACGAAAATACAGTGCAAAGTCGCTGTTTTATTCCAAAAAAACGGTCAGTTTTTTTTTTTCTCATTATGCACTGTGTGCTGCAGGATTTTTTTTAGACTGTGCACACTGACCACATAGACTCATTCTTTCATATGAAGGCCTACCAGCTTTCTCCCACTAGATTTGAGGGCGCTAGAATTTAGGCGTACTAGTATGTCAAAATCCCTGGGTCGTAAGCCGTACTAGTACGTCCGAAACCCTCAAAGGGTTAATCACCACCTATCATAAAAAAAAAATTTATTTAACATGTTCCTTCATTACTATTACAATAATTAAAATAAATGAGATCCAGATAAACGGTACCAGTATTTTACTTACAAAACTCCCGAGGCTGGGCCCTCCTCACGCTCTCAGTCTGGTGGCTTCTTCATGAATGTCTTACGTCATACTCGCTCCATCTCCATTGACAGGGTCACTCCAAAGCATCTGTTAAAAGTAAACTATGTAAAACTCACCTTAAAATTAAATAAGTAAGTTTATTTAGGTACAGGTATACACAAATACTATAACACAAATTATCATACATAGTAATGTGTTTAAATTGCCTAGGATAACCTTAAAAAGTCAGACAGCCACTTATTTCCATTGGAGTCTCATGCCCCTTTATACTCATAATTTTCTCATTTTCTTTCTATAAAAATGTGTGGCAGCGAGATCATGTCCACAGTGCTGGACCTCATTGTTCTGTTTGAGACAGCCAAAAGCCAGCTGGAGTTCCACTGTGTAAGATAAGATTATTATTATAATCAAAAGAGGCACTTAATCTATAAGGGTCATCCGAACAAATTTTATCGTAATATTTGTTCGGATTTTTTAACCTGGAGGGATAGCCATCCAGGGTAACCCAAGAAAGTCAGTGCATCACTGAGGACTGTTTGTCTTATTTTCACTGGGGTCCTTCAATCATGCGACCCACACCAGTCGGCTTACAACAAGGTCCCTACTTACTGCTACTTAACAGGGACAGCAGGTGTAAAGAAAGGACCAGTATTTCCACCCATGTCAGGGACTGAACCAAGGACACTATTTCTACAAGTGGAACACATACAGAATATTATAGTTAAGGTAATTGACATACTATATTACTACTTTATAGAAAGCCCCCTTGATATGCAAAGCATTTCAGGTACTGTTGTCGTAAAAAATGATAATGGCTGTGTTTACTTTACCTTTATACTGTATTAAAAAAATTGCAACAATTTGAATTTATTTTAGTTCAATATAATTTTAATTGACATCTTTTTAACCCTTAAACTGTCCAAACATATATATACGTTCTCATGTGCAGCGCCCCAAACGTATATACATGTATACATTTCATTTTTCATTCATTCAAAATTGGCGCAATAGGCCTGAGTCGCCTAGACATCAGAGAATGGGTGTGCGCACTCAGTGTGCACCGTATGAAAAAATTGGGCACACCTGGGTACCACATGGTAAGTCCAGTTACATCCAGCTCCATCTTGGGTCAGCATCATGGCACATCCTCGTGATTCACTCACGCCTCGTCGTATTAACACTCTACTATTCGAGAAGTGATATGGATCATGAGTTTAGTGGATTTGACACCAATGGGGCTAGTAATATTCAAGGAATTAGTGAAAATGTCGATGATAACCCAGATGACCCTCAGCCCATCACCTCTGGGGTAGCCACACCTAACCCTGGGCCAAGGACTTCTGGGGTGGCCAGTGTGGTCACACAAGACCCTGGGCCAAGTACCTCTGGAGTGGCGAGTGTTACCCATAGGCAACTTCGCAAGAGGAAACTATAATTTTTCCCGGTTTTTTAGTGATAGTGAAAGTGATGTAAGTGACGATGAGATTGATTTTATGCCATTCGAGGATTCATCTAGCGATAGTGAAGTTCATTATTCACCAGTGAAGCATACTTTTAGGCGTCGTCGTCTACGGTCAAGCCGTGTGCCATATGCAATCCCCATGGGTCGTGGCAGGTCACGATCCAAAACCCCAGCCACTGATAGTGAAAGTGATCATGAAGGCGAGTATGCGGGGATGGAGAAAGTAGTGGTGGGTGGCACGGTGCCTGGACCATATGGCGAGGTGGGTGGACAGACAAAGGACTACCCGGCATCCCCTCAACCATGTGCTGCCTCTACTCCTGTCCCTCCTCCTGCTTCCCCTCGCCCCATGCCACAGGTCCACCCTGCACCATGTGATCATGAGTGGAACTGGACACAAAGTATATTCGTGCCACAGCCTTGTGATTTTGATGCGAGTGGAAGTGGTATCCAGCCAGAATGTCCCCTAACGATTAAGTCTAGAGTTAGACTATTTCCAGTTGTACTTTGACGAGCCTATAATGAACTTGATAGCGACCCAAACAAACAATTATTACCGATATGTCATGGACAACACAGCAGAGGTTGGAGAATCATCACACCTGCACAGGTGGAAAGACACAACAGTGACTGAAATATATTTATTCCTTGCCACTGTCATGCTTATGCCACATATCTATAAGAACAATATACGTAATTACTGGTCCACAGACCATGTCATCAGTACTCCAGTTTTCCATGACCACTTTCCGTGCAACAGATTCACTCTGTTGCTACAAATGTTGCACTTCTCAGACAGAAATACGCCAAACAGAAATGACCTTCTATACAAAATCTGGGAAGTGTTTATGTATTTGAAGCAGAAATTCAGTGCATACTTTTATCCCTTCAAGAACATTGTTGTTGATGAGTCTTTGATTCTGTTCAAGGGATGCCTCTCATTCAAGCAATATATACTGAGCAAATGTAATCGCTTTGGTATAAAACTTTTTGTTATGTGTGACTGTGAGAGTGGTCTTGTGTTAGATGTTATTGTATACACTGGGAGAAGCACACTCGATGATGACAGATGGATGTTGGGCATTTCCGGTGAAGTTGTTCGCAGGATGATGGAACCATACCCTGGCAAGGGCCATACATTGTACACAGACAACTGGTATACAAGCCCTATGCTCACAGATTTCCTATGTGTGAACAATACTGATATATGTGGAACAGTGAGAAGGAATAAAAAACACATGCCAAGGTTCAGTGGAGACAATGTTGAAGGTGCAGTGCAAAAGTTTCATGCTAATGACATCATGGCACTGACGTGACATGACAAACGGGTCGTGACACTGCTGTCAACCATCCACAGAAACAAGGTGGTACAAACAGACAGACAGAGCAGGTTCAACAATGAGCCTATTGTAAAGCCAGCTGCTGTCATGGACTATACGTACAATATGCGACTAGTTGACAAGTGTGACATGATGATAGGGTTTGTTGACTGTGTACGTAGGAGTCGCAAGTGGTATATAAAACTGTTTTTTCACCTTGTAGACATTGCAGTGCTCATTGCATTCAATATGTAGGAGTTAAAGACAGGAAAATGACAATGTTTAACAGAATTCTCTCTGAATGTTGTCAAACAGATAGCAAGAAAGTATGCTACCACAACTGTACCTGCCCCTCAACAGCGACTTGTCCCACAATCACAGCCAGTGGGGGAAGTGCAGACCGAATAACTCGTAACTGTCACTATCTGATACCAATACCACCTACCCCAAAGAAGAATTCCCAGAAAAAGTGTGTAGTATGTGCTACCACCAAAAAACGACCGCAACAGCGGAAGGACACACGATTCATTTGTCACCAGTGTAAGGTGGCGCACTGTATGAATCCATGCTTCATGGAGTATCATACAATGGAATTCTAGAAAAATGAGTGGGGCATGTAAATACTTGTATATAGTGTAGATAATAATGTAATTCAGCTAGGTGTGCAAAATCATCAGTGTGTACATGTGTGTTTATGACAATATGTTAATAATAAATGGCAGAAATCATATGCCAAATCCAGTCATTTCTGGAGTGGAACCACAGTCGATGGCCTCCACTCCAAACCAACAGATACAGATACTAGTGCAAATAATAGAGCCTACTAGACTGGAGAATACACTAGATCTCATCTTCACTAACAGTGATGATCTGATACAAAATGTCACCATATCAAAAACAATATACTCAGATCACAACATAATCGAGGCTCAGACATATATGCATGGAGCCCCAGACCGACAAAATGAGATTAGTCACAAGGGAGCCTTCACCAAATTCAGCCTCAATAACAAGAACATAAAGTGGGACCACGTAAACGAAGTCCTAAACGATATAAGCTGGGAAGATAGACTAAGCAACACAGACCCCAACTTATGCCTAGAACAGATTAACTCGGTGGCACTCGATGTATGCTCAAGGATTATTCCTTTAAGAAAAAGGAGTAGATGTAAAATAGAAAGAGACAGGCGCTCCCTCTACAGGCGACGGAAAAGAATAACAGAGCGGCTAAAAGAGGCCAATATATTTGAAATGCGTAGGGAGTCACTGGTCAGAGAAATAGCAAACATCGAACTTAAGCTAAAGGAATCTTATAGGAGTCAGGAATCGCGGGAAGAACTAAAAGCCATAAATGAAATCGAAAGAAACCCAAGTATTTCTTTAATTATGCCAAATCAAAATTGAGAACAACATCCAGTATTGGGCCCCTACTTAAACAAGATGGGTCCTACACAGATGACAGCAAGGAAATGAGTGAGCTACTCAGTCCCAATATGACTCAGTTTTTAGCAGGCCGCTAACCAGACAGAGTCGAAGATCAAAATGAATTTTTTATGAGAGCGCCACAGAATTTGGTTAACACAAGCCTATCTGATGTTATCTTGATGCCAAATGACTTCGAACAGGCAATAAATGACATGCCCATGCACTCTGCCCCAGGGCCAGATTCATGGAACTCCGTGTTCATCAAGAACTGCAAGAAGCCCCTATCATGAGCTTTTACCATCCTATGGAGAGGGAGCATGGACAAGGGGGTCGTCCCACAGTTACTAAAAACAACAGACATAGCCCCACTCCACAAAGGGGACAGTAAAGCAATAGCAAAGAACTACAGACTGATAGCACTAACATCCCATATCATAAAAATCTTTGAAAGTGTCCTAAGAAGCAAGATCGCCACCCATCTAGATACCCATCAATTACACAACCCAGGGCAACATGGGTTTAGAGCAGGTCGCTCCTGTCTGTCTCAACTACTAGATCACTACGATAAGGTCCTAGATGCACTAGAAGACAAAAAAAAAATGCAGATGTAATATATACAGACTTTGCAGAAGCCTTCAACAAATGTGACCATGGCGTAATAGCGCACAAAATGCGTGCTAAAGGAATAACAGGAAAAGTTGGTAGATGGATCTATAATTTCCTCACAAACAGAACACAAAGAGTAGTAGTCAACAGAGTAAAGTCTGAGGCGGCTATGGTGAAAAGCTCTGTTCCACAAGGCACAGTACTCACTCCCATCTTGTTTCTCATCCTCATATCTGACATAGACAAGGATGTCAGCCACACTACCGAGTCTTCCTTTGCAGATGACACCCGAATCTGCATGACAGTGTCTTCCATTGCAGACACTGCAAGGCTCCAGCGGACATCAACCAAATCTTTCAGTGGGCTGGAGAAAACAATATGAAGTTCAACGATGAGAAATTTCAATTACTCCAATATGGTAAACATGAGGAAATTAAAACTTCATCAGAGTACAAAACAAATTCCAGCCACAAAATAGAGCGAAACACCAACGTCAAAGACCTGGGAGTGATCATGTCGGAGGATCTCACCTTCAAGGACCATAACATTGTATCAATCGCATCTGCTAGAAAAATGACAGGATGGATAATGAGAACCTTCAAAACTAGGGATGCCAAGCCCATGATGACACTCTTCAGGTCACTTGTTCTATCTAGGCTGGAATATTGCTGCACACTAACAGCACCTTTCAAGGCAGGTGAAATTGCTGACCTAGAAAATGTAGAGAACCTTTACAGCACGCATAATGGAGATAAAACACCTCAATTACTGGGAGCACTTGAAATACCTGAACCTGTACTCCCTGGAACGCAGGTGAGAGAGAGACATGATTATATACACCTGGAAAATCCTAGAGAGACTAGTACCAAACTTGCACACGAAAATCACTCACAACGAAATCAAGACTCGGCAGATGATGCAACATCCCCCCAATGAAAAGCAGGGGTGTCACTAGCACGTTAAGAGACAATACAGTAAGTGTCAGGGGCCCAAGACTGTTCAACTGCCTCCCAGCATATATAAGGGGGATTACCAATAGACCCCTGGCTGTCTTCAAGCAGGCACTGGACAAGCACCTAAAGTCGGTACCTGACCAGCCGGGCTGTGGCTTGTATGTTGGATTGCGTGCAGCCAGCAGTAATAACCTGGTTGATCAGGCTCTGATCCACCATGAGGCCTGGTCACAGACCAGGCCGTGGGAGCGTTGACCTCCGGAACTCTCTCCAGGTATAATATTGGTGTATAAACAACAATTGGCATTGAAATCAACAGATTTACTATAAAACATAATTATCACATCATGAAAACTAAGAAAATGACAAAAAAAAAATAGTAGAAAACGGTAAATACGTATGTAGAATTTCTGGAAGCGGCAGTGCTCCACGTTGCCGTCAGGTGATCACCAAGTGCCAGCTTCACGGCCTCATATCTCGGTAAGTAATGACCCTAAATTTCTTTTTTATTCTAACACACTTTAAAAAATGTGCTCTTTTTTCTATAAAAAAAAACGTTTTTTTTTTTCAAAATATTCGGGGCACTGCGCAGGTGAATGTATATATACGTTTGGACCGTTTAAGGGTTAACAAAGAGCACGTTTTTATTTAGGAATTTCATATACAACATATTTTTTTTACAAAAGTCTTGACTGCATACTGCAGTGAAGATTGCTTGCTGTAATATTACATTGACATGCTTAAAGGGTGCAAGTTTTACAGTGATTATGGTTACTTTGTGTGTCTTAATACCATTCATTGTGTGAGATTAGTTATACAGACGTTGCTGGCATACATTCGAACATTCTGGCCGATACAATATACCATTCACCCCACCTTGTGCATCAACTTTATAAATTAATTTCCTAATTTTGTTCATAAATATACACCAATTATACTGTATCCTCGACATATTTTACATTCATTATATTTCTGCGTACATAAAAGCAAGCATACATTTTTCAATCAGGAAGTACGTACTTTCTAGCTAATATAGCATGTGAGATGAAGTAAGTTTATTTAGACACAGGTACACATAAGTACAATTATCATACAAAGTGTACTTATACAGATATGTACTGTGAGACTTTATTCATCACAGAAATGCTTATCATACATCACTGCCACATAAGCAGCCAACATCTAAAATAAATACTGCAATTTTCAACTCTTAAAACAAATCAAGATGCTGAAACCATTTTATTATTATATTAAATTCGAAACAGTAAACCTATAGGGGTCACACAGCACACAAGAAATTAGAGGGACTCAGGCTTGATCCGAAGAATGGGATTATTATTATTATAATCAAGGGGAAGTGCTAAACCCATAGGATTATACAGCGCCGGGGGGATGTAGAAGGCATTCAGGCTTAATTCGGGGAACTGGAGCACAGATCCAATCCGAGGAACGGGAGGTTAGCTCTAATTCTTTGGAGGAAGAGCCAGCATCAAGGCGCCTCCATTGAATAGCAACAACATTATAAGTTAACTTCATCTGAACTTGTATCCATAAACTAACAATATCATTCACACTGCAAAAGTGCTGTATATTTTGAAACTGAAAATACGAGTCACTTTGTCTAACTTTTTGGGGGGTTATCGTAGGTAATTTACATTATATATAATAACTGCACTTGTGCCTAAATAAACTTACTTAGGTTTTTGGATACAAAAGTTCTGCAATTGTCTTGAGTGCACACGGATGTTATATAAAATAGTAGTGGAAAAATTCTGTATATTTAACCCAGGATAACCTGATGAATTCAAGCAATGTGACTATTTCCAATGGAGAAAATCCCATCCAGTCAAGCCACTGGTCTATTATTCTCGTAGTGATCATTCTTATTTTCCTCTTATTGTACTGTATTAAACATGAGCCAACATACATTAAGCATAAACAGTCTTCACAAATCATCCTCATGCCCTAGGGTAGTTTTATCTTATAATAACAATAAAAGGAATGAACTGTCCCTGCTTGTTGGTGTTTACCCACCAAGTTGCCAGGTTACTCCTCATCAAGCCAGTCACTCTAGCTTGCTACACTCAACTTACCATATGGAAGGGTTGGATAGGGTGTTTTGACTTTAAAAGTCATTCCATTTTCCTAATTTTCTCTGAACAACCTCCATCCCAAACCACACCTATCCAAACATTATAAAAATCAATATGGCGCCTGTAAATATAATCCTGGTGGCCGCTGCCTAAACTACCTCGCTCTAACAACCCGCCAAGTTTAAAACATGTATTGTTCTGGCAATCATAACAGATGTATTTATAATGGTTATAATCATGGCAAAAGTTTTTAACTAAAAAAAAACAATGCTGGCGAAGTGGGTAGCTGCCCATCAGCTATATAATTTACACAGTACGATGTATCAAGTTTCGATAAATAACACTCTTAATTCTTATTTCAACTTGTTTCATTAATTCAACTTTGTATACGTATGAATATAAATAAGCATTGATCCTCTCTGATCTTTACAATAATTAATTTACAATTCAAAATCAAACTCAAATTCAAAAATTTATTTATTTGCATAATATATAATGAGTACTATATATATATATTAAAATATTTTTAAACACAAAGAAAGCCATTAGCATGCATGAGCATTTCGGCCTGTAAATATTATACTGCTAACGTACTCGCCTTACAGCGTCCGTGGTTTAGTCCCTGGCTGGCTGGAAACGTTGGGCATGTTTCCTAACAGCTGCTGTCCCTGTTCACCTACCAGTAAGTAAGTACCTGGGTGTTAGTCGACTCATGTGGGTCGCATCCTGGGGGACAAGACTGTATTGTGCCAAAACAAAAGCATTCACATTGCTAAACTCACAAACTAGTATTTAGTCACTTAGCCATAATACCAACTTACCTCATAATTTGTAATATTTTAAAATTAAGAATTAAACTAAGTCTGCCCGAAATGCCTAGCCATGCTAGGTGTTCTAGTGGTACACTCTGTAATCATTATTTTACTACATGTAAACTACACAATAACCAAATTCTGTAAACTCAGCATTGTAATCCTTATAGAGAATAAACTTTGAATTGAACTGAATTGAATAAAGATTACAATGCGGGGCTTACAGATTTTGAATATTGTGCGCTTTACATGTTTTAAAATACTAATTACAGAGGGGGCCACTAGGACACCTAGCATGGCTAGGCATTTCGGGCAGACTTAGAGTAATTCTAAACTTTAAATTATTACAGATTATGGTATTAAGGGTAAGTGACTACATTATAGTTTGTGAGTTTAGCAATGTGAATGCTTTTGTTTTGGCACAATACATAGTGTCTATATTGGAGTATCATAGGCAAACTTATGACTAGTTAGGATTGATTATTTTAAGATTAAGATTCGTATTTCTGTGTTTATAGTCATTGGGTGAGTAAGTGTAAGTGTGAACCACCAGGTGGTTTGCATGTAGTTAGTTGATGGGGTGTATCAGTGAGATAAGATGTTTTCTAACTGTAGTTTTGAAAGTGATGATGTGTCTGCAGTTCTAGAGTCTTCAGGTAGGTGTTCCAGATTTTTTGGCCCTTTGGCACACATTGAATTTTGTAAGGTTTAGTCGGACAGGGGGAATGTCATAGAGATTTTTGTGTCGGTTTATCCCTGGGGGTCCTTCAAACACAAGAAAGCGTTTTAGGTCGGGTTTTAAAATTAAATTTTTAAATCCTGTAGATGTAGATTGACATAGTAAGTGTGGATGTTCTGACAGGGGAGTAATTTTAATCTATGAAAGTGGGGGGGGATTTTCCGGGGATGGGATTTAGTGAATTTTTACTGCGGCTTTTTTTTGGATTATTTTTTGCTTTAGATGTTTTGGCTGCAGTTGATCGCCAAGCCAAAAGCAAGGTAGGAAATGGATAATGAGAGAAGGTATAGGGGGAAAAGGCAGTTTGGGGCCGAAATATGTCTTGGAGAGGATCCCCCCCGTTTTGGATACTTTTTTGTTACGTGTTGGTAGGGGGTGCTGAAATTTAGGTTGTTGTCGAGGATAAACCCAGGAATTGCCCTCTTATTCTGGGAATTAAAGGGGGCGATCTTAAAGTTTAAATTCGCAACACCTGCTTTCCCACCAAAAATAATGTAGTGGTTTTGTCATGTTAAGTGTAATTTATTGGGGTGTCACCGTCAGAGTTTTGAGCAGCTCCTCGTTAACTTTGGGGTTTAGGTCAAATTAGGGTGAGAGAGACGAATCGTGTCGTCCGCAAAGAAATGAGTTTTTAGGGGTTGGGATACGTTTGGAAATCATTAATGTAAATGAGGAAGGCGGGGAAACCCAAAGGGCACTTCCCCGCGGAACTCCATATAAATGGGCCGTGTTGATGAGGCTGTCTTTAATGGTACATATGAACCTATTAGTAAGGAGGATTTGGAAGGCAAAACAACAAGCGCAAACACCCACCTAAACTTTTTAGGGGCAGCTTGGTATTTCTGAGGGGAAAGAAACAGGGGAAAACAAGGCAATCCTGGAGCTCATTTTCTTCCCCTGGTGGGGCAGATACTTTCTGATGGAAAAGGCATTTTTTTCCCGCAGGGTCTAGCCCCCTGCCCCAAATTTTCCCGAAAAATGCTGACATTTTTTCGAAGGAGTGGGCAAGCATTCTAAATTGGCCTGGAAAATCTCCTAACCTCAACCCAATTGAGAATCTATGGGCGATAACCAAACGCAGGATCGCAGTACAGGACTTCAACTGTGAAGAAGCTAATTGCTGATGTTATTAGGACCTGGTACCACTACGAATTTGCTAAAATGTGTTCAGCATAGGTCGATTCTATGCCAAGCCTGTAGCAATGCCAAACATATCTCTCATTAAATCAATTATCTGTCTAAGTAAGTTTATTCAGGTATGCACAAATACAGTTACATAGATTATCATACATATCAGCATATGTGTAGAGAACCTAGGATAACCCAAAAAAGTCAAAGTGACTTACTTCCATTGGAGTCCTGTCATATCATTGCCATGTATTTTTTAAATAAACATTAACTTTCCAAATAAATGTTCTATATCATCACAATGTAAAGGACCTGGGAGTGATAATGTCAGAGGATCTCCCTTTCAAAGACCACAACATTGTATCAATCGCATCTGCTTGAAAAATGACAGGATGGATAATGAGAACCTTCAAAACTAGGGATGACAAGCCGATGATGACACTCTTCAGGTCGCGTGTTCTATCTAGACTGGAATATTGCTGCATACTAACAGCGCCTTTCAAGGCAGGTGAAATTGCTGACCTAGAAAATGTAAAAAGAACCTTCGGGGCACACATAACTGCGATAAAATACCTAAATTACTAGGAGCGGTTGAAGTTCCTCGACCTGTACTCTCTGGAATGCAGGCGGGAGAGATACATGATTATATACACTTGGAAAATCCTAGAGGGATTAGAACCAAATTTGCACACAAAAATCACTCCCAATGAAAGTCTTGGCAGGCGATGTAACATTCCCCCACTGAAAAGCAGGGATGCCACTAGCACGATAAGAGACAACACAATAAGGGGGATTACCAATAGACCCCTGGCTGTCTTCAAGAAGGCTTTGGACAGGCACCTAAAATCAGTACCTGATCAGCCGGGCTGTGGTTCGTACGTCGGTTTACGTGCATCCAACAGCAATGCCTAGTTGATCAGGCCCTGATCCACGATGAGGCCTGGTCACAGACAGGGCCGCGGGGGCGTTGACCCCCGAAACTCCAGGTATACTTCCCAATAAATATGCACATTACTGTAGCACTGTTCATTTGAACATAAAGATCAACAATATACAATTAAAAGGTAGGACGAGGGTAAATTATGAGTATACACCTGGACAGCGAACTAAAATTCAACACACACACACACACACACACACACATCCAGGATTTTTCTAAAAAAAAAAATATTCCCGTAACAGTGGACATTCTTTCAGATTATTATTATTATAATCAAAAAGAAGCGCTAAGCCACAAGGACTATACAGCAACATTCTTTCAGAAATACGTTTATTTATTTATTTATTTATAATTTGAGCACACTTACAGAGGTACAAAAAAAAATACAGATAAGAGCAGCATGCCAAAGCCACTTATACTATGCATAGCATTACGGGCTGGCTTAAAATTAACTTAAGATTAACTAAGCAATGATGAAATCAGTGAAAAACATTAATGTAAACTGATTACTATAAAGCACAAGTGAGTATTACAAAGACAGGTCATATGGTTGCATGCATTGTTGTAAATTCAGTAGAATGGAGGAGTATTCTGTTAGGTAGTGAATTTAAAAAATAATAAAGTTAGATTGGGTTTTAGGTTTAACATTTATGTGATATAATTGTGAGAAACATTTAAGATATACAATTTATAAGGTTCAGTTATTCAGTATTTATTTGGTTTGGGTGAGTAAGTGATCTTTGAGAAGAGACTGAATTTATAAACAGGTAGTGTTTCATTTATATTACAGGTAATGAATTCCAGATTTTAGGGCCTTTTATGTGCATGAGTTTTTGCATAGCGTGAGATGGACACGAGGAATATCAAAGAGTGATCTGTGCCTTGTGTTTATGGTCATGTGTTTCTGTTGAGGTTGGCAAGGAGATGTTTGAGGGGAGGGTTAATATCAGAGTTGAGTGTTCTATGTATGTAATAGGTGCAGTAATAAGTATGGATGTTTTGTATGGTGAGTAGGTTGAGTGTATTGAATATGGTGGAGTGTGCTGCCTGTAGTGAGAATTTGTTATCATTCTAAACTGCAGCCTTTTGTTGGGTAATTAGTGGTCTGAGATGGTACTTGTTGTTGAGCCCCATGCACAAATTCCATAGGTGAGATAGGGGTAAATAAGAGAGTGATATAGGGCCAGGAGGGCTGACTGTGGAGCATAGTACCGTATCTTCGATAGTATGCCTACAGTCTTGGAAATTTTCTTAGAAATTTGTTGTATATGTGTATGAAATTTGAGTCTATTATCAAAGGGGGATTCCTAAAAATTTTCCCTCTGTTAGCTTTGTGATAGGTGATCCGTTTATCATTATGTTAAGAGGGACATCTGTAGCTCTGTTACCAAACTGAATGAAGTAGGTTTTGTCAATGTTTAGTGTAAGTTTGTTAGTACTCATCCAGGTAGATATTTTCTGTAATTCGGTATTTACAGTATTGGCTAGCGTGACTGGGCTCGGGTGGAGAAGACGTATGTTGTGTCATCAGCAAATAGTGTGGGTTTGAGTAATTTAGAAGCATTTGGGAGGTCATTTATGTATAGGAGAAAGAGAAGAGGGCCAAGGACACTTCCCTGTGGGACACCAACTGTAATTGGTTGTGCAGAAGAGTTTGCCCCATTTGCGTACACATATTGGCTTCTGTTGCTGAGGTATGACTTGAGGTAGTTGAGGGAGTGCCCTCTTATACCATAGTGTGATAATTTTTACGTGGAGCAAGTCATGGTCAACTGTATCAAAAGCTTTACGTAAGTCAATGAAGATCCCCAGTGGGACTTCTTTTTTCTCTATTGCAGTGTATATATGTTCTAGCATGTGTATAATAGCATCATTAGTATTTTTATTAGGCCTGAATCCAAATTGGCAGGGTTGAGTATGTTTTGGGAGATAAGGTAGGAGTAGATTCGTTTATGAATTAATTTTTCGAAGATTTTGAGAGAGGGTGTAAGTTGGATATTGGCCTATAGTTATTCAACTCTGTTTGGTCTCTCCTTTGTGGATCGGGGTGACCCTTGCTATTTTGAGTACTGTAGGGAAGGTGGAGGATTCAATGGATTTGTTAAAGAGTGTTGCAATGATTGGTGATAGCACTTGTGACACTTTTTTGTATATAAAGGGTGGTAAGGTATTTAAATCTCCTGCCTTGTTTTTTAGTGCGTTGATAATAAGGGAGACTTCGTATGGGTTAGTCGGAGCTAGGAACAGTGTGTTCGGGTAGTTGCCGGTGAGGTAGTCATTTGGTGGGGTATCTGAGCTTGGGATTTTATTGTCTCCCAAACAACCTTGCTCACTTTATACTACTCTTTATTCCATTCGTACCTCACCTATGGTATCAGTGTGTGGAGATCAACACCAGCTAATCATCTGAAATCTATTGTTACTCAGCAAAAATCATCTCTCTTAATCACCCATTCAGTCTCCAGGCAACATTCACCCCTCTTAAAGAAAAAGTCCGGGCCTGACTTGGCACCTTAACTCAAAAAGCTTTTATTTTTTTCTAATACTATGGTTTGAATATAAAGAATTCTATATAGTAGTGTGCCACTGATGTCAGCCTAGGCCTATATATTTTGTACATATACTTGAAGAAATATTATTATTATTATTATTATTATTATTATTATTATTATTATCTCAACCAATTTAAGTTATCTGATAGTTCAACCGGGTGCTCGTGGCTTGGTTGGTAATGTCCTCAATCCACACACTGGAAGTCTAGGATAAGTCTCCGGCACAGGTGAAATGTTGCCTTACACCTGTTGCCGCCCCTGTTCACCTAGCATTAAGTAAGTACTGTGTATTAGTCAACTGTTGTGGGTCGAATCCTGGGGGACAAGATTAATCTAAACTGCCCGAATAGCTCTACATAATCAGGGGCTTTATATATAGTATGTCAATGATGTCAACTATAATAATAAAAATATCTTTATTTACATATGTATAAGGTATACAGGCTTATTAGATAAGACACATATGCAACAGTTAGGTATCTTTATTTCGAAACGTTTCGCCTACACAGTAGGCTTCTTCAGTCGAGTACAGAAAAGTTCTATCAACTTTTCTGTACTCGACTGAAGAAGCCTACTGTGTAGGCGAAACGTTTCGAAATAAAGATACCTAACTGTTGCATATGTGTCTTACCTAACAACCTGTCGGTATTTTATACCATTTTAATGTTCGTATACAGGCTTAGCTGACATCAATGACACACTACTATATACAAAGCCGCTTGTTATGCTGAGCATTTCGGGCAAATTAGGTCTATTATGTTCCAGGATGCGACCCACACCAGTCGACCAACACCCAGGTACCCATTTTATACTAATGGATGAACATGGACAGCAGGTGTCTTATGGAAACACGTTCTAATATTTTCCAGCCGTACCGGGGATTCAAACCCGGACCTTAATGTGTGAGCTGAGTAAGTTTACTGAGGTACAGGTACACATAAATACAGTTACGTAAATTATTAGACCTAACAGCATACGTGTAGATTACTTAGGATAACCCAGAATATTGGGCATGTTTCCTTACAGCTGCTGCCCTTGTTCACAGAAATAAGTCACTTTGACTTTTTTGGGTTATCCTAGGTAACCTACACATATAATGCTATGTATGATAATCTATATAACTGTATTTTTGTATACCTAAATAAACTTACCTAGCAGTAAGTAGGTACCTGGGTATTGGATGACTGCTGTTGATGGGGTATTCTGGGAAAATGATGGCAATATGCATGAGAGGACTGAGTCTTGAAATGAGCTGGGATGGAATGACATCTCTTACAGTATGTATATTCACTCATATAAGCCTGGTGGCTAAAGCTCGCGCTTCACACACGGAGGGCCAGGGTTCGATTCTCGACGGGTGGAAACATTTCGACGCGTTTCCTTACACCTGCTGTCCTGTTCACCTAGCAGCAAATAGGTACCAGGGTGCTAGTCGACTGGTGTGGGTCGCATCCTGGGGGACAAGATTGAGGACCACAATGGAAATAAGTTAGACAGTCCTGTTTGGGACGCACGATTTTCTTGGTTATCCTGGGTGGCTAACCCTCCGGGGTTAAAAATCTGAACGAAATCTTATCTTATCTTACAATTGTTTTACATACATGTAAATTACCTAGGCTCTCCAAGGACCCCAATGGAAATAAGTCGCTAATTTTTTGGGGTTATCCTAGGTAATCAAAATAGCGCTATGTATGATAACTATAATTGTATGTGACTGTACCTGAATAATAATTTACTTTAACTCAAAGTCAAAACCCCAATGGAAATAAGCCATTTTGTCCGAGTTTTTTGGGGGGCCTATCCTAGGTAACCTACACATATAATGTTATATATGACAATTTAAGTAACTGTGTTTACGTGTACCTGAATAAACTCGGAAAAAAAAAAAGAGAGAACGCCACTTGACAAAGTCAAATTAACCAGGGAGAAGGAAAAAACAGAAACCTGTTTTTTCAAAAAGGAAGAAGGTTGCCCCCCCTTTGAAAGGACGGAAAACACACAACTGTCAAGGCACCGTCGCTAGGGCGACCCCTGACACTTTTTTTTTGACCACCGCATTGATTGTTTTTATTATGAATTTAAGGTTTTATCAGTATATTTTAGTATTTGGTATGTCTTTATATATATTTGGGTTTATTGGAGTGTTGCATGTACGGGTGACTACTTGTACCGTTCGAATCCTCTAGCGCTGCCCAAATTTTTTACGAAATATATTTTTAGTATTAAGATTTTAATTTGTATTTTTTACCAAAATTATATATGTTTTAAACAACAAAAAATTGTTTTTTAAAAAGGAAAAACACTTTTTTTTAAAGTTTTCCTTAAAAATCTATGTTAATCTTTTTTTTGTGTTAATGAACGAGTAAAAAAATGCTTTATTGAATTTTTTTTAGGTTAAATTAAAGATTTTTTGTCACCAAAAATTTCAAGAAATAAAAATTTTATTATTGTTTATTGTTATAATCAGGGGGGAGCGTAAACTGAAATTTTAGTTACTTTTTCAATTGTGAAAACTATTTTCTCTCGTACTGCATCATATAAAAATAAAATGAAAAAAAAAGTAGTGTTTTGGGGAAAACTATTCATTTACCCCTTTTTTTTTTTTTTGGTGTTTCTTAAAAATTTTCATAAAAATAATCACAAATTTTTAAAAAAAAAAAAATTTAAACTTTACAGTGGTTTTGAGGGCATTTTGATTTTAGAAAAAATTTTTTTTTTTATATTTTATTGATAAAAAACATTAACACCTTTGGAATTTGGCATGGGGGTCAACAAAAACTAAACCATCCAGCCACTAATTTCCCAACAAAAGGCTGTAGTTTGAATGAAACAAAAATTCTCACTACAGGCAGCCACTCCACCAAAATTTAAAACCTCAAACCTCTCCAATACAAAACATCCATATTATTTTGCACTATTTCTACATAAACACTTAACTCTGATATTTCCCTCCCCTCCATCTCCTTTTGCCAAACCCCAACAAACACATGACCAAACCAAGGCACAGATCACTCTTTTATGTTCCTGTGTCCATCTCACGCTAAAGCAAAAATCATGCACATAAAAGGCCCAAAACTGGAATTCATTACCCGTAAATATAAAGAAACACACCTGTTTATAAATTTAAATCTCTTCTAAAGTTCCTTACTCACTCAAAACTAAAAAAATATGAATAACTGAACCATATAAATTGTTATCCTAAATGTTTTTCCACAATTATATCACACAAATTTAAACCCCAACTTTGTTATTTTTTTAAAACATACCCAACAGAATACCCATTTACTGAATGAACAGAAATGCATGCAACCATAGACCTTCTTTTTAATACTCATTGTATTTTTATTATCTGTTTTCAATAATGCTTTTTCACTGATTTTTCATTGCTTATTAATCTTAAGTAAATTTTTAAACCGCCCTAATGCTATGCTTAAGTGGCTTTGGCAGCTGCTCTTTCCTTTTTTTTGTACCCCTGTTTTATGCTAAAATTACTAAAACACCATATCTAAAATTTTCTGATAATAATTTTCTTAAAATCTATGATTCCACGTCACAATTTACCAAAAAAAAATTTAATGGAAAAAAAACCCAAAAGATAAAAAGCAAATAATAAAAAGTCATAACGATCACCCAGGAAACACTTTTCGTGCCTGACCAACCTCAAAGTTCTAGTTTTAGTTCACTACGTTTGTCTCCCATTCCCCCGGGGGCCCGTTGACCCCCGTGGGTTTAGCGCTTTCCCCCAAATAATAATAATGGCTATTTCACTCTGCTTAAATTCTCTGAACAGGGAATTTACTAAATGTATAAAGTTTCCTGATTTTTTTTATTATTAAAAATTCCCGGGATTCTCCCGGCCCGGGTTTTTCCAAGTGGGGGCCCGGCCTTGCTCCCCTTTAGGGAGTGTCTGAACCTAAGTCTGCCATGGGGGAGGGGACAAGTACCCCACTTTGGGACCCAAAGTCCCCCCGGCCTAGCCACAAGCTAGGCCTCGGTCCCGCCATCCCCGCCCTAAGGGGCAAATGGGGAAAGACAGTCTTATGAGTAAAGGCTCGGGCTCAGGGACCTACCCCACCCAGAAGGGTTGGGAGGTATCGTAAACCCGATTTTTGTAACAAATTTTGGGGCATTTTTAAAATAAAATCCTTTCTTTTCACATCAAGGACCACAATGGAAAAAACATTTTTTACTTTTTTTTTTTTATCCTATAAACAAATTACAATTATTAAAAAATATAACAATTAACCTAAATAATTTAATCTGTATACGCTTTTAAACCGAATAAAAATAAAAAAATTTGCAAAAATTAAGGCGGCACCACACGGGGATGTAGCCAGATGGTAGACGCTCGCTTAGCATGGGAGGGAGGGATGATACCCCGCACTCCCTTACTTTTCCTTTAAATGTATGTATCAAATGATAATTTAAATGTTCGTAGTCAGTTAGTAAGTTTATTCAGGTATACACAAATACAGTTACATAGAATTATCATACATAGTAGCATATGTGTAGAGAACCTAGGATAACCCAAAAAAGTCAGACAGAGTGACTTATTTCAATGAGTTAATAATATAATGGTTTAAAGCTTATTAAATACGTAAGTGTTATTAAGACTGATTATAACGTGTTCACTATCCTTACGGTTATTTTTAATTCTGGCTGTCTTCATGGCACTAGACAGGTACCTAAAGTCAGTACCTGATCAGCCGGGCTGTGGTTCGTACGTTGGTTTGCGTGCGGCCAGCAGTAACAGCCTGGTTGATCAGGCCCTGATCCACCACGAGGCCTGGTCACAGAGCGGGCCGCGGGGGCGTTGATCCCCGAAATCTCCTCCAGGGATTATATTTAATTCTTAAAGTATAAATACATTTAGAGGTGTTTTAGATGAATGGTTCAGAGAACCGACAAGTTGATAAATTAGACACATGTGCAACTCTTGGGTATCTTTATTGAGGAAACGTTTCGCCACACAGTGCCTTCATCAGTCTATACAAAGGAGAATCTTGAAGAACAGAAGGAGAATGAGGTAATCAGTCCCTCAACCTTGAGTCGATGTGGTCAGTCCATCAATCTTGAATATAATACGGCATATGTGCGGAGAAGCAGCTTATATACCGTAGGCAGGAGAGGTGCAGCAGTCGTAGGTGGTGTCACATTTGTTCAATGTGGAAGTAGGTCGTGCCCAAGGGTTAGGCAAGCGAAGAATTCACGACCTACTTCCACATTGAACAAATGTGACACCACCTACGACTGCTGCACCTCTCCTGCCTACGGTATATAAGCTGCTTCTCCGCACATATGCCGTATTATATTCAAGATTGATGGACTGACCACATCGACTCAAGGTTGAGGGACTGATTACCTCATTCTCCTCCTGTTCTTCAAGATTCTCCTTTGTATGGACTGATGAAGCCACTGTGTGGCGAAACGTTTCCTCAACTAAACAGATGACAGCTAAGAGACTGAGCAGTCCCTGGCTAACACCCAGCATTCTCAAATCCATAAATACAAAACACCGATATGAAAAACAGTACAGAATGGGTCACATAACCAGAGACCAAACAAAACGTTACTCGTCAATCCTAACCAGCCTGATAAGAAGGGCAAAAAAATTGTATTATGAGAACAGATTATCCAACTTAAGAGGTGATATAAAAAAGACCTGGAAAACCCTTTCAGAAATTCTAGGAACAAAAAAGATATCACGAAATAGCGAATTTAAATTAGCAAAATCAGATGAACCCCAACTCCCACCAACAGAAACAGCAAACAGACTCAATGATTTCTTCTCCACTATAGGACAAAACCTTGCCAATAAAATCCCAAGCTCAGATACCCCACCAAATGACTACCTCACTGGCAACTACCCGAACACACTGTTTCTAGCTCCGACTAACCCATACGAAGTCTCCCTTATTATCAACACACTAAAAAACAAGACATGAGATTTAAATACCTTACCACCCTTTATATACAAAAAAGTGTCACGAGTGCTATCACCAATCATTGCAACACTCTTTAACAAATCCATTGAATCCTCCACCTTCCCTACAGTTCTCAAAATAGCAAGGGTCACCCCGATCCATAAAGGAGGAGACCAAACAGAGTTGAATAACTGTAGGCCAATATCCAACTTACACCCTCTCTCAAAAATCTTCGAAAAATTAATTCATAAACGAATCAACTCCTACCTCATCTCCCAAAACATACTCAACCCCTGCCAATTTGGATTCAGGCCTAATAAAAAATACTAATGATGCTATTATACACATGCTAGAACATATATACACTGCATTAGAGAAAAAAGAAGTCCCACTGGGGATCTTCATTGACTTACGTAAAGCTTTTGATACAGTTGACCATGACTTGCTCCACATAAAATTGTCACACTATGGTATAAGAGGGCACTCCCTCAACTACCTCAAGTCATACCTCAACAACAGAAGCCAATATGTGTACACAAATGGGGCAAACTCTTCCGCACAACCAATTACAGTTGGTGTCCCACAGGGAAGTGTCCTTGGCCCTCTTCTCTTTCTCCTATACATAAATGACCTACCAAATGCTTCGCAATTACTCAAACCCACACTATTTGCAGATGACACTACATACGTCTTCTCTCACCCGAGCCCAGTCATGCTAGCCAATACTGTAAATACCGAATTACAGAAATTATCTACCTGGATGAGGACTAACAAACTTACACTAAACATTGACAAAACCTACTTCATTCAGTTTGGTAACAGAGCTACACATGTCCCTCTTAACATAATGATAAACGGATCACCTATCACAAAGCTAACAGAGGGAAAATTCTTAGGAATCCACCTTGATAATAGACTCAAATTTCATACACATATACAACAAATTTCTAAGAAAATTTCCAAGACCGTAGGCATACTATCGAAGATACGGTACTATGTTCCACAGTCAGCCCTCCTGGCCCTATATCACTCTCTTATTTACCCCTATCTCACCTATGGAATTTGTGCATGGGGCTCAACAACAATTAACCATCTCAGACCACTAATTACCCAACAAAAGGCT